AATCTCAATCTGTTCTTTAATTATAACTAAAAGAGTTACGTACCTTTGGTTCGGAAAAAGATTCTATGGACAGAAGCATGCAATAGGACAGTGAGGCCAGTTGGGTTTGCATAATCGAGTAAATTGGCAGCCGTGTGTCTCTTCCCATGTGGATCAAATATTGTTCCACCAACCTTTGTCCCATAAATATGGTCATACGTGAAGCCATTGTTTGGCAACACTCCAGCCTCCACTAGACCATTTCTCACCGCCGATTGCCATGGCCCTATCTCCGCCTCAAATGCCACCAATTTCTCCACCCACTGATACGATTCACTCACGAGCCGACCATCCCATCCTAGTTCCCTAGTAAGAGGATAACAATGCGAAGATAGCATCGTGTTTTAGGTGTACATAGTCACGGCCCTATGTCCGGCCTATTAACTAAAAGTTTTGGATTTGTTAAAAGTTGGATTTGGCCCATGAAACGTACCTGACATAATCCGTGGAGGCGCGTGAGTAAAATCCTGCGTTGATACAACTTCCGCCGCCCAAGACGCGAGCGCGTGCATTGATCACGCCGTCTTCAGAGACGAACCGTTGAGAAGGGGAAGTCGGAGAAAGGTCGGAGAGAGCAGCACCGAAGGCGGTTAATTCAGTGATGTTGGGATTTCCAAACGGCGAGCCGCCTCGTTCCAATAGCAAAACAGTGGCTTTTTGCGAGAGAGTAGCGGCTAATGGACAGCCAGCGGTGCCGCCGCCGATAATAATGTAATCATAGTAAGATACAGTTGGAGCCAATCGTGCATTACGCATGAAAGAGTAATTTGGAGCTGAAGATCCCAAAAAAAAAAAAGAAAAAAAAGTTCAATATCATTTGGTATATCTTATAACTTAAACAAGGAAACAATCTAACAATGTTTGCAACATTACCTGTTTCAGAAGTAGAAAAGCCATGGAAGAAGAGGAATCCGACAAAAACAGAGTACCCAAAAAGTCTGCACCATCCAAGACTCATTGTCTTAAAATGAATTGGATTCTCCACTTCTCCCTTACAAAGTTATTACGGACAGAATTCAACTGGTCTTGCCTTCTATTTTCAAATTGAGAGAGGACAGGCAATATTTTATATTTTAAGGGGAAGACAGATTTCTGGCACCGATATGGATTTGTCATGGAAGGAGTAATTGTGTGAGAGTAAATAATGGGATGGCAGCACCCCACTGATAATTACTTAAACCGAATTTTTAGAAGAGAACCATAAATTTTGATCGAACGACTTTTTCACCCCCTTTTTTTTTTTTTACAAAATGTACAAATACAATTTAAGCTTAGGCTAAAATGAATTTATAGTACGGGCATCTCAAGGCAAAAGTTTAGTTTTAGCTTCTTATTTTATATTATGATATTTTTAATCTTTCACTTATTAAAATTAAAAAAAATAATTATTATTTATAATATTTTATTAATTTTGTTAATTGACTATTAATTTTATTAGTTAACCGTTAACTATTAGTTAACTGTTAACTAATAAAAACTTATTTTTAACTAATAAAGTTAATAGTCAGTTAACAGAATAGTTCTACTAACTGACTATTAATTCTATTAATTGATTGTTAACTAACTGCTAACTAATAAAAATATACTTTCAGCTAATAGAATTAACAATCAACTAGCAAAATTAACAGTCAACTAATAGAGTTAACAATCAGTTAACAAAAATAACAAAATATTATAAAATGAGAGCTATTTTCTTCAATTTTAATAGGTGAATGGTTAAAAGTATAATAGTATAAAGTGAGGAGCTAAAATTTATAAATCTAATAAGATAAAAGACTAAAACCAAGTTTTTGCTTCGTCTCAATGCCTATTAAAATTTTTAACTTAACCACTTACACTTATGTAAAATTTTAATTATTTGTTTTTT